TCTCTCTCTCTCTCTCTCTCTCTCTCTCTCTCACACACACACACACACACACACACACACACACACAATCCTGCAAGATATTTTGTTCCTAGGACCAAAAATATTTCCCTCAATTCCCTAAAGGTGGGGAGGTTTTTCTGCAGGAAAATTTGGCAGCGGGAAAGGTCAGAGAGTCATAGAATCACAGAGTTGGAAGGGGCCATACAGGCCATCTAGTCCAACCCCCTGCTTAAGGCAGGATCAGCCTAGAGCATCCCTGACAAATGTTTGTCCAGAAGCTGCTTAAAGACTGCCAGTGAGTTAAAAAAAAAGGGTCCAAAAGCCCTTTTCCTTTAAATCACACAGCCCTAAGCAGAAAAATCTGCTAAACTAAAACTGTTGGTGAAAAGGCTTGTACATGCAACCTGTAGCTCTCTACATGCCATGGAGAAGGGCATTAGGCAAAGTGCTCTGTGATCAGGGAAGCTGAGAACAGCCTGAAGGTTTCCGTGGAGGCACACCTTTAGATAGCACAGCCATTGGAGTCCCTGGCCAGCAATATGACAGTACATGCAGTATCAGCAACTGGGCCAGGTGGAGTACTCAGGGACATCATCTGAGAAAACTGGTTTGCGGGGTGGGGGTGGATGAGACTGAAAGGAGGGAGAGAAGAATGACACAGACACACTGGAGAGGGAGAGCATCAGGCCTCAGCTTTATTGATCACAGGTTTCTCAGGCCTTGGTGCAGCACAGGATGGGGGTTATGGGTGCAGATGACAGTGAGCCTCCTCCCCAAACCACCTGTTGGGAGTAACCAAGTAGAAAATGGGTGCAACTGACAGCCCACCTGCTGACAGAGAACTCCCTAACCTGCCTCTTAGGGGCCCCCAAATCTCTTAAGGGGGCCCCCTTTTTACAGTCATGCAGGGAGACCACCTCTGCATCCCCTGTACTATGTCCCCAGGCAATGCCTAAATGCCACAGGGGCTGCCATTGTTAGTGGAACATAATCCATGGTTTGGTTTCTAAACTATGGTTAGCACATGATTTTGCATGTGTGAATACTACCTACCACTATCAATAGGAGCATTACAGCTGTGCTTAAAGTAGCCCCATTTTGCAGTCCTGGATGCATCTTTATTATAGTTGTTACTGAACTTGTGGGTGATTATTAAATCAGCTGTAGAAGAGGATGGCACTGACAGTCACCTTGCATATGTTACACATTCTGTGACAAAGAAAATACTCTTAAGTTCTGTTACATTTTTTCAGCTATGGATAACTTGTTGTTGTTGTTGTTGTTTTTAAAAAAAGTGAATTAAAACATCAAAACTGGAAAACATTAGGAAAAAACTTGGGGAAAATTAATGGTAATTTTGTTTCAAACGACATGAGAAGACATGAAAGCTCTGTTGTTGTAACAGCTCTTTCAAATGTTCAAGTTATCACTTGATTTAGCATTCTTCCAGTGATGACCACACATTTTTCAATTCAATTCTGGAAAGCAGGGATGCTGCTCATCCCCTCCCAGGATCAGATTCTTTCATGCTCTTTGATGATGGGGGGAAAAAAAAGTCAAACGCAGAAAGGCAGAAATATGAAAAATAGGAGATATTTATTTAAATAAAAATACACACACATGCACACTGAATATGGCTTCCATACAGCAATTGACTGAATGTCCTAAACCAATAAGCAAAATGATGATGCAAAAAAGTGAAGCATGCATAAAAAGCAACAAGGCCAGAAGTTAGAGATGAGGACAGCTATCACAAATATTTTCCACCTGCTCCACAACCTAGATAAAGTGTATGTTCTTTGGACTTTCAATATAACATTTCATGGTAGAGATTAATGCTATTATAGGCACAGCTCATTGACCTTTGCTCTTGCACAGTCCTCATGGGAATGAATGCATCTTACTTAGCCTGTGATAGCTGAGAAAGACCACTTCAAAGTCAGAGAACTATTTTGACCTTGCCAACAGGGTTCCATGTGCCCAGTGGCTTTCGCAATCCCATCTCCTGCCCCACCGGCTACTTTTGAAAGTTCCTTGTGTTTCAGAAAGTAGTTGGCTCTCCCATGACTTAAGAAGCCCAAATACTGAAATGTTGCATTTTATTGGACTTTGTGAACAAATTCTGCTTTGAAGTACTAGATTATAAGTGGATATAACACCTGGATATTACATATCCATAAATTTGCATTCAGAGAACAGGCTTCTTTTAGTGCCTGGTAGCATAAAATGAAAGATGGCTCATCTCCCATAAGATGAACACAATATATAAAAAAAATCAGTACTTCAGGGAAACAGTTTTTGAAGTATGTACAATGCTTTCCTACAAACACTGACCTACAGGTACACGCCATTCTTCCTGCTAAAGTACGCTAAAATATTTAAAGCGTTCTTTGGGCAACTGGAAGCACACACTTGAATGCATCACTCCTTTTTCTGGAAAAAAAAGGCAAAAGAAATAATGCACAAGGGACAGACCAAGTCTAATGGCATTGGAAGTGCTGTAAAAATGCATTCACTACAGAAACTGGTAGTTTTAAGCATGCAGAAATATCTATATAGTATTAAATAATTTAGAAGTGTCAGCCGGCTGTATATGCTAACTCAGTAACATCTTTCAGGAGCAGAATTTAAAATGCACTATACTTAACAAATGCACAGCCAGTTTCCTAAATGCATGACTTTAACTGCTGCTTGTAGATTTTCTCCTATTTCCTTGTAAAACCTGTAATAAGTTCTGAAGAATTACAGCTTTCTGTAGGTAAACTGCTAATACATTTTTTTTAAAGTCACCCAGATCTTTAGTGGTATCAGTCCCAGTTTATAAGTATCAATCCCAGTTTCAGCTTTTTAAAGCAGCACCAGGGGTTGGATCCAAAGCTGGGATAGAATCAAAAGGTATTCTGCTCATGGAAGTGGTTTTTCTATTAATGGAGGGCTCTTTCAGCTAGAGGAAGTGCTCAATTGCATGGGATAGATCCAACCAATAGTTTAGGAGTGAACCATATATAATTATTGCAAAAAACATGCTGGCATGTCTTCTTCATCTACATTCTCCTGCACACACTCCACTGGAACAAATGTGTGGTAGAACAGAAATGCAGTTCCTATTCATTTCAATGGGGCTTGTGCAGAAGAGCTGCCGGGTTACATAGGCTTCCCTTGCTCGAAAGCCTGTCGAATCTGACTCTAGGGTTGCAGTGCTCATCTCTGTTTCCAAGCCGAAGAGCCAGCACTTCTGAAGACGTTTCCGTGGTCATGTGGCCGGCATGACTAAATGCCGAAGCCATTAAAATTTCTAGTGCAAAAAAAAAAAAAAAAGGATTCTCTGACTTAATGTTGTATTGGCTTCAGCCAGAGCTTTATGTATAATTACAGTATATATGATACTATTATTTTATTACAATACACATCACAGAGACATAATACAATAGCATATACTGCTATGAATTATTCCAAAATAGCTAAATTATACGTAGTTCAATATTTCCAAATTATACCTGCCTTTATATGTCAGTTTAGACATATTTTGTCAAAAAACATATAGATGTTTACTGACATCTTTCTGTACACTTTGGTTGGTTTCTTTGTTATAGGACAAAAATTGTCCCAAATTGCATAGTATGATACTGTAGCTGACGACACACTGACTCCATTTGAGGGAGCCAATGGCATGAAATATATTGAATTCAGTGGGATCCATGTAAGCTTAACGAAAATGAGCCAAAAAACGCCAGATGGCTTTTAAACATGGCAGTACTAGAGGGAATGCTTCACTCAGAAAACTCTACAATTCTGCATCCTTACAACAGTTTTCACAGAGCAAACATTTTAAAAAGCATTTCACTTACACCAATTCAGAGACATCGGTCAGCGCATCACCTTTAAATATGCATCTTTTGTATAATTTAAAAACAAATGTACACCACATCTTAATGAGGAAAAGGACAGCTGTACAGTTTGTGTGTCAGTCTCCTACCAGTGAGCACAGCTGTCTGCAAGACCCGATTATTGGCCTGCCTGCAATTTTTTTTTCTACTATGGTCATTATGCTTGTGGAATTTTTTTTAACATTTCAGTTGGAGGCAATTCCATTTCTTACTCAAGCCACCACTGCCAGCTTTGCTGGTTAGCATTGAAAGGATGGTGAGAAAGAGCACATTTTAATGAAATATCATTGTTTCAGATGTAGCAATTTTATGCACTAGCATATCCTGGATGAATTTTTTACTGGGAACCACTATAACAACTTGTCTGCAAGACAATCCAATTGCAAATGATTGCTATAGTGCAATCATAGTCCAGTCATTTGTGGATGCAGCCTGTGAATCTCCCCCCCCCCCCAATCTGATATTCAGACAAGGTTTACATTGACTTGCATATCCATCTGTCCGGAAAGTAGCTCCTGTCTTTATATTTCATGTGATACCTTCCAGACTGAAAAAAGCATTCCTGTCATACTAAAAAGAATCTCCACTGGTCTCTCTAATACTAGAGAGAGGCTGGTTGAGCTCTGGATCCTGAAAGGCAACTGTAAGCGCTGCCTGTGGTCCAAAGGCCTTTTTGAATGAGCAGAAGGCACTCCTCTCTAGCTGTGTACCTCTGCACCACATCCCCAATTGTTCCAAAGCATCCTCCAAGACTCAGGAATGGCTTTTCAAGGGCTGCAGTGGATAGAAGGAGGCAAGAAATCCCTATTGTCTGAGCAGAACTCCAATCATGCCTCTCTGGATTAGACCTATGGTACTCATACATGAACAAACAAACTTTAGGTAAAGTGTGCAAAAATTGTTTTGTTTTAACAGTAACATATGCAGCTGAAACTGCAGAGATCTTCAGAAGAGCAGAATGTAATATCCATTTTAAAAAATATATATATGTATATTGCAGGTAATCAAAATTCAAATTCCTTTCAAAATGTATCAATGCTCTTATGTACCACAGCGGAGCAGCACCTTTGCTTTGCCATCAATCCTAAATCGACTCAGAGATGAGCAAGGCATGACTTCCGTCCAGGCTCATAGTGACCTCTACTGATTCACCCATGTCTCGGCACTTGGTCTTCAATCTGATTAATGACTGAACTTTGAATTGTGACTGGCTTATGACACACAGTGTAGTTTTGATGAAGAACTGTGTTTCTGTAAACAAACAGCTAATTTTCAGAGCACTCGATCTACCATACTTTATCACTCCCCCCCCCCCAATGACAGTACAATTTTGGCAAAAAATAGCCCCTATGTAGTTTTCCTCTTTCACTCTGAATTTGAGGCACACACAAGACAAAGCAATTTGTGTCAGCTAATGAACGTGGCTGTGTGATCCATTTTTTTTTGTCTAAAAGCTTAGGTGTCAGCTTTTCCATATGTCCCCTCTGGTGGTCGGTAGTACTTTGGGAAAGCCATCAGCTGTATCATGTTGAAAGCATACTTTCTGCATTTCACATTCTTCAGTACATTCTCTATGCGGCATCCTTCTCTGGTGAAAAGGGGGGGAAAAGACAACTTCATGAAACAAATAATAAATAAATATGTTTTATTTGTATATTGCAGAGTTTTGGCAACAATCGAAGTAAAAATAACAAAGATTCAACTCTACAATATTTTCCTCCCCACAAGTGATGATACATCTTACAAAATTAGATCCAAGGCCAGGCTCAATGCAGTTATTGCCCTTAGAAGTAGGTCATGGGATTTTTATATTTATCTTGCACTGTGGCTTGATTAAATACTTTATGATATATTCTTACTATAACTTTAGAAATATATTTGCTTTTAAAATTTTTAATAACATTTTTCCAGATTGTTTTATTTGTTTCTGCTGTACACATTAAACTTCACATATTATGTGAAGGTTCTATGGATAAGGCATTTTATTAAGTCTGGCCCTATAGATTAGAAAAGGAAATGTCTATCTTTGTCTTGTTTCCAATATGTTCAGCTTTGCAATGAAAGAAAAAGAAGACAGCTTTCTAACCACCTGATCCAACTCTCTGTGTTACAAAGAAAGGATGCTTGTTCACATACAGTACAAAAGCCACGAGAGCCACCATGGTGCATCAAGAGGCCAACAAGACTTTGCTCAAAGGAATATAAAATGTGCTTTGGAAAGCAAAAGCAACAATTACAAACAGGTTAATTTTGTTACAAAACATAACTTATCTAGTGCCAGAGAATGGCTTGACAGAAAGGGGTTAGTTGCAACAAAGAAAAAGAGTGAACTTAGCTGCTCAAACAGAAAACCCTACCAGCGAGTAACAATGACAAAGAGCTGAATGAAAACTAGTCCTTCAAACTAACCTCCCCAGAACTCTCATCCTAGCCCATCGCTAGATATCATACTATCATTGCACTATAGCAATCATTCACAACTGGACTGGTTTTTACACAGTCCACATAGGAAAATCCAGTTGCAAATGATTGCTAAAGTGCAACAGGAGACACATGCTACCTTAGATTCAATCTCTGTGTGTGCAAAGTCATATCTCACTTCCTCATACCTTCTGATTGATTAAGGGCTGATTATCGCCACAGATAAAAATACCTCCATGCAGCGAGTGTTCCAAGTGGTCTCCCAGTGTGAACACTACAAAGCTATTGCATCTAAGGAAAACGTTTTTTCTGAGGTGGTAAATCTTTTTCTGAGCAGGATAGCCCAATCTAGCTCAGTCTCATCAGATATTGGAAGCTAAGCATGATCTGCCCTGGCTAGTATTTGGATGGTAATCCAGTAAGGAATACCACGGTTGCTACACAGAGGCAGGCAATGGCAAACCACTTCTGAATGTCTCTTGCCTTGAAAACCCTATATGGGGCTGCCATAAGCCGGTTACAACTAGATGGCCAACACGAAAACAAAAAACCCCAAACCAACCACCTTGGCAATTTTCACATCTTGTTGCCCATCTGTGTGTTTCAGAGAGGAGACGGTGATTTCTGCAAACAGGTCCCCTTTGAGATGGTAAAATCATCAAATAAATGTATGAATTGGCCCTGAATATGAATTTCGTGTTTGGTGACTCAGAATCGTATCTGATTCAGAGTCACTAATATAAATTGCCTTTCTTAGAACTAATGACAGTGCAGAGAGGTTTACTAGGAGTAAGAAGCAGCTTAAACCACTTGATGCATAGTATGCTCTCTTCATTTCTTTTAAATATGAAAAAAAGGTTTACATTGGCTTTTAAGGACAAATTCTGCAGGTATGAAGATGTATAAATAATACAGCACATTTTTAAAAAATCTTAAGCTGTTGTGTTTCATAGAAAAGAAAGGAACAGAAGTTTACTGATATTTGGCTAATAATAGAGCAAGACTTAAAATAAGCCACACAACCAGCAAATGTGAGCTGACAAGCAGCAAGGCGACAGGATAGAAATGACGAGAAGTTGGCTTGTTATCAGTTAGACAGCCTGTCTCGGGATCATCCGATTCATTCAGTGTTCCCTGGGTTTGTCTGCTGTTAAACAGGGGAAGTTAGGAACAAATAAGAAGAGTGTTTAATAGAAGAAAAAGGCAACACTTAGATATTCCAACAACAGATACACTAAAGCTGGCCATACAGAATAAGAAATGTACACTGCATAATTCTATTTCAGGGTTACTTTGTGTGCAGATCAGGAAAGCATTCCAAATATTTAAGGCTACTTTTAAAGCTGAACAGAAAAATAAGTGCCCAGTGAAAGCAAGCTGCTGGTATTCTTTTGCATGTTAAAGACGCATTCACAGGACAAAAGCTCCGACAAAGGAAGAACACAAATGCTATGAAGTGGAAATAAATGGATAAATGTATGACTTCCAGTACAACAATCGAGAACAAACAGGGATGATGCAAAGCTACACAGAGCTCTGATGCAACGTGGCCTGCAGAGCATTTCCCAGCCTCAAAATGGATGGGGAATCCTTTCATTGGGGGAGTTCGGCTCAGACCCTGGAGATCCACATGCAAACCACAGTATTTGGGTGTCATTTCATAACCCCCAGCAAAATGGCTTCCTTCTATTTACCCGTTTTCCAAACTTTACTTGGCTTTAAGCACCTCCTGACACAAAAATATTTTGAACTCTTTCGTTCTTAAAAAAAAGAAAGCAAAGGAATTAATGTCCTGTTGCAAACTCAACACTGACCTGTACTACCTTAGTGACTAGCAAGATTTCCAGGGTATAAGATTTTGAGAGTGAAAGCTCCCGTTACCAGTTATCTGTCCAAGGGAGCTTTGACTCTCAAAAGCTTATACCCTGATAAACTTGTTGGTCTTTAAGATGCTGCTGGACCAAAGACCAGCTCTCTTCTACTGCAGACCAGCACAGATAAATTCCCTGAAATTATCAGTACTGATCAGTAGCTAACATTTGGGTTCAAATAGCTCACAAAAATCTAACCATGTCATTAAATATTTGATTACAGATTTGAATAATATGTTCTAAGAATTATTAGCGTTCAAAGGTTTTTTTCTAACTTAGATATAAGCATAAAGCTATGGAAAATGTTTAAACACACTTGCTGGTTTGTAATTAGTACAGTTGTACTCACTCCGTTGCTCAAAAGCCACAGGTGGCTTTTTCATATGCCAGATTTGAATAATATGTTCTAAGAATTATTAGCGTTCAAAGGTTTTTTCTAACTTAGATATAAGCATAAAGCTATGGAAAATGTTTATACACACTTGCTGGTTTGTAATTAGTACAGTTGTACTCACTCCGTTGCTCAAAAGCCACAGGTGGCTTTTTCATATGCCATCTCTAGCTTTTCTTCCCATTTCAGTTTTTGGGTTTTGGCTCCACATCTCTGACAGAATGCCATAAGTCAGTGGGATTTAGTTTTCGTTGCACTGAAAACTATTTGGTTACATTTATGGTTATATATTTATTATTATTGTATATGTGTATACATTTGGTTGGGTAGTGAGTAGGGCATACAGTAGCAATCTGGCTCTTTTGGTTGATGGTGATTGCAGATGTGGCTTTCTGCAAGTCATAGAATGAGTACCACTGTATTCATTGGCAGACTTTGCACACCAGGACTTTTCCATGTGCCCCCCTTACTGCTACAGCCCACTGAATCCCCAAACGTTTGTGCGCATCAGGAAAGCCTCAGGAATAGTATAAGGGGGAATTTGTGGAAATTTCCACCTCCCCTTCTGCAAATGTGGTCGCCAATTTCCAGGTGCCATCTGGAGAACTCCCAGAATTACAACTGATCTGCAGGCTACAGAGATTTGTTCCCCTGAAGGAAATGGCCACCCTGGAGAGTAAGGTCTATGGTATTATTGCTGTCCCTCCCCAAACCCTGCTCTCCCCAAGGACTACCTCCAAAGCTCCAGGAATTTCCAAAATGTGAAAGCTGCAGCTGGTGCAAAATGCCACGGCCAGGCTTTTGATAGGGTTCCCTATTCGGGAGCACATCCAGTCTGTGCTAAAGACATTGCACTGGCTGCCTATAGCATACTGGATTCATTTCAAGGTGCTGGTTCTTATCTTTAAAGCCCTATATGGCCAGGGACCTATATACCTGAGGGACTACCTTTCCCCACATTTTCCCCTAGAGAGCGCTGCGATCAGGGGCCCGGGAATCGGCTGGCCCTCCCGAGTCTCAAGGAGGCCAGACTAGCAACAACCAGGGCCAGGGCTTTCTCAGTGGTGGCTCCACTCTGGTGGAATGAGCTCCCGGAAGAGACCACGGCCCTGCGGGATCTTTTACAGTTCCACAGGGCCTGTAAAACAGAGCTCTTCCACCAGGCTTTTGGAGCCGCTGACACTACTAACAACTCAAAGCCTATGGTCGGAGAGCCCTGTTTCCCCTGGGACTTTAACTATAGCCTGAGCTAACCGCCTAAGACAATCTAAGAAGATCAAGGAGCCGCCTGCGAGATGAGAGAACTTAACAACAACAACTGCTGTGGAATCATCGTTACTAGCACTTTATCATGTTTTATGGCTTTGAATTGTTATTTGTATTAATTGATGCCAATTAATTTTATTTTATATTACTGTAAATTTTATGTTGTTTTTATGTAAGCCGCCCTGAGCTGGCCTAGGCTGGGAGGGCAGGGTAGAAATCTAATAAATCAAATCAAACCAAACCTGAAGTTGGCAACCCTATTTGCAAGCAGAAATGCTGGTCCACAAGAAGAACTGTGTGGTTTGATCCATGCCACTGACACTGTTTAAATACAACTGATATAACATGTCAATATAGCAAGCTTCAGATGTTAGATGTTCCTGATCTAACTGACAGTTGTCATGTGATTGTCATGAGGTGCAGTACCAGACTCATCCAGTTTGAACATGTCTGGGCAAAGCCTAAGTCACCATGACTAAGCACAGTGCTGATTGGCTGTGCTATGTATAAATGTACAGAGTGCTTATGCTCAGTGTTCTCCCCTGTATTTATGAATGCTGGCGAAGCATGCTGTCCGAGAGCTGTATATATCTGTAAATAAACTTCTTGTAAATAGTTACCACTGGACTGTGTTATGTG